AAAAGTTACAATTATTCCATTTAAAGATTATTCGGCGCGGCTGAAGTCTGGTGGCTCCGTAAGATTTAAGTTCAACTCTGCCGCATGCGATAAGAACAGTCCAAAATCTAAAATATCGAACTTGTTGATCTTGACTACTATTGGTTAGAACTGTTGAAAATAACAATAGATATCGAACTAATTGTTCTTGCGTGGCAATGCGATTTTGTGTTTGGAAATAAATAATTTAATGATTTTGTGGTATTTTTGGTGGTTATTTTTGTGGTCACAAACGACCTTATGTTGAAAGCTTCTCACGGCTTCGAGCTCCAGATCGACAACCATTGGCGTAAAGTTTAAACGTTTAGTTCTCCTTGGTTATATTAATCTATTAAATAATTCATCTTGACGCTGACTGTACCTACTTAGGTAATATATTTTTTACAATTTCACATAGCAAATGTTACTATCTGGGTCAAAAACGAACCTAACGTACTTGACAATAGCTTTCAATTACATTTTTCTTAAAAGTCTTATTTTCAGAAAATCTGAACAATGTAGACGGTCCCGCGTGATGTTCAACAATTTCACGGACCATTCACAGTCTGTACGTACCTGTCTGAACATTTTTTTTAGTATTTACCAAATCTACAACTATAAAAACTTTAAAATTGTTAGTGTGCTTAATAGATGTGAAATTACGGTTATATTATTTAATAGGTATGAAACTAGTATATTACATAGTAGATCCTTATGTCACTCAGTGGCGTAACAATAGGGTGACAAAACCGCCAATTTGTTAGGGTCCCCCAGCTTAAGGGGGCCCCGTGCCATAGTACCTGAGATTAATAAAACCAACGTACTTTTCATTTATTACACATTCAATCTTTATCGGATCATATGCTCTCGAATAACGTAGGGGAAAGGGGGGCAAGCCGGGGCACTCGGTTTTAATTATAAACAAATTGACCAATCACAATCGCTTTAACGCCAGATGTCGTACCGCCATGACAGCTATTAGTAACAGGAATGACCGAGTCGTGAAAAACTTAGTTTGTCTGTCTGAAATATTAAAAAACTTGGAAAAAAATGTGCGGCTAAAACCAGAAGAGTACCCAAAAAGAAAAAAGTAACAATGTCATTAAAGGAAAACAACGGCAGTGGTGTTGAAAATACTCCTTGTTTGTATTGTAGTGATCGCTATTTGAATTTAAACCAAGGCTGGGCTGCTTGTTCTGCTTGCTATAAATGGGCTGTTGTGCTGGCAAAGAAGAGGAAGATGCTACGTTCACATGCGAGTTTCGTCAGATTACTGACTATTAACTAATTATTAAATTATAATGGTTGTTTTACACCCCATCTTGCCCCTTAAGGGTACCCCATCTTACCCCATGGGCGAGGCAAGATGGGGTGATGTTACTTGTTCTGGTTTATGATTTTTACGTATTAATTAAGTTACAAATGTACCTAACACTTAACTATTTAAGACTAATTCTCAAAGGTGATTGTATATTATTAGATGATATTAATAAGTTTATATAGAAACATCATTGTCAGTTTTATTGACCTTCAAACGTTAAGTGCCCCATTTTGCCCCCCTATACCCTACATCCCTTATATCTACTTCCCTGGACGCTTTCACAAGGAGCTCTACTGCTATTTATTTCTTATTGCACCCATACAAATGTTAATTGGAATGATGTATATTTGCAGGTAACAACTCGTACGTCCTACTTTATATTACGTATAATGACATTATTACATTTATATACACATAATAATTATTTAGAATAACAATATACCAATGCCATGTGTTTGTATCCGAGATACTACTGTAAATGAACTAAATGTAAATCTCAAAAAAGTCGAAAAAAAAATGGTTTCTGAAAGTTTTTTTTACATTTTTATTTAGTTTTTGACTGTTTTTTGGTTTGGATAGCATGGACGATTAACGGATAAATGTATCCGACAATTGTCAAAGAAAATTAATATCTTCATAATTTCGAACCCTGCACTACATTATAACACATTGTGTTACAAGTTACAATGCAAGGGCGGTAAGTGGGCAATTATGAACAGAGGGACATTAATGGTCCGAACGTTTGTAATTGCTGTTCCACCCGTTTGGCATAAGTACAATGTTTTTCATGGGTTCCGTAATTAAGATCGAATTCCGTTTGGTCAAACATTAATTGCTCGAAAACGTTTGCTCGATTGTCCATTTGACCTGTGAATCGTGAGCTATAAGGTTTGCGACATCGATGCATCAAAATCTCGAAACAACATTTGCGCTAACGATCAACAGCCAAAAAAGATCGAGCAATTAATGCTAGATCAATTTGATCCAAGTAAGGAACCCATTTTTCATCACACTTACGACGAAGTTAAAAAAATGGATAATTAATTATAATAGTACATTCTTATTGTGTTTCAAGTTTCTCAGAAATAAATGTTACTTATATAAAGAATACTTTCATTATTTTGGCTTTGCATACGAAAAAACGTATTTTTTTTTAAATTTAGGTATGCTCTGGTATTTATGTATGGTGTGTATGTTATAAAAATATTAAATAAAATGAAAGCGCCTCTATGTACATTAGTTTTCATAAGTTAAATAAAAAATTCCACCGCAAGCAACAGAGACACAAAAAATATAAACGAATCGAGAGTCTTCTCCTTTTTAAAAAAAAACCTATTACCGCTCTAGGGCCGTATGAAAAATATACTGTCTAATTTTGCTGCACATACGACTACTTACGAACAAGTGTGTTGAAAAGGTTAAATCTGTGATTGTACTAAAACTCCCGATGTCGAGATACAACCATGAGTAAACATCAAAACTATTATAGTTGATGTGGTATGTAAAGAAATCATTTCCAAGCAAAGGCTATCAGGGTATCAGGTCATGGTTTCCGGTTATTAGATATGGTTACATAATCTCTATATGCGCCTTTTCGTGAAGACGGCAGCAGTGTCATCCACCCGAAACTAGTTAAACTGGTTCCAAGTTTTGGGATATTGACATCATGTACAACTTTTAAGGCATGCTTTAGTCTTACGGAAATTATCCTATATTAAGAGTTTAGGCCGATCGTACTTAAGATCGTAATTAGTTTTAAAAACCACATGTCATCATACGCGTGAATGCGCCATTTTGAAACTTTTTGTATAGGGGAGGAATTTTTTTTTGCGACTGTTATAAAATATTTATGTCCTGATTTAAGTCCAATTCTAAAACTTAAACTTAATTAAAACCAACATTAAATTTTAACACAGGACGTAAATGTTTTAACACAACAGTGATTTTCGAATTGGCGCTTTTGCCCTTTGCAAATATCGAACACAGATGTTTTTCGTCTACTCGTTAGAACTGCTCCGTAGCATTGCCCTTACCAACATTTTTTTTGTTGGATCTTTGTATTTATAATAATAACAAAACTAGTTTTTTCATATTTTGTTGTTGTTCGTTCGTAGCTGAAGGAATTAACGGCATCGAGACAAATTCAAGTAGGGTTTAACGGTGCCACACCCCGGACACTCCATACAACAGCCGAGAATTATTTACCTACTGCTACTACATACGGCAAGGCGCTATCTGCACACGCGCAAATGTGTGCGTGAAGTGGCAGGGTTACCCATCACTTCCGGGCGGCGTCGTGGTGAATGTTCACTGATCCCACGGCGCCGACTCAACCGGCGAGAGGGAAACCCGGGGGGGGGTTTAGTGGGGTAGGCCTTCCAGTGTGAAGGGAGAGTCCCCACATAACCCCTGAGTCTCCCTGGGCTCAGGGGTATCCAAAAGGATTTCCCCCCCGTCAAAAAAAAAAAAAAAAAAAAAGGGTTACCCATCACTTGCTCGTACTATTTATTACGTTACGTTGTCAGAGCGGCATTCTGTTATCTATAATTCTATAATAGAATCCTAATAATTACACATGTTCGTTACGTATTTATATATCGATATATGTATAATATTATATTTTTCATTACCTTATAGCGCGCCACACGTACGAAAAACTTTCTTTGCTCGCCATCTTTGTTTTGTCGATCTCAAAGTTCATTTTATGGATTTCAGTCTTAATTCAAAATCGTAATATTACCCGCAATACTGCGTTATTGTATTAGGGGTTAAAGTATGAAATTGCCGTTTTATTGCAATAGGTTCCTTGAATTTTCATAGAATCTTCATGGTTTGAGGTTTTCGAATGAAACT